ATACAACCACACCCAGCTAATTTTTTTTTTTTTTTTTTTTTTGAGACAGAATCTTGCTCTGTTGCCCAGGCTGGAGTGCAGTGGCACAACCTCAGCTCCCTGCAACCTCAGCCTCCCGGGTTCAAGCAATTCTCTGCCTCAGCCTCCTGAGTAGCTGGGATTACAAGCACGCACCACCACACCTGGCTAATTTTTTGTTTTTGTATTTTTAGTAGAGACGGGGTTTCATCATCTTGGCCAGGCTGATCTTGAACTCCTGACCTCATGATCCACCCCCCTCGGCCTCCCAAAGTGCTGGGATTACAGGCGTGAGCCACCGTGCCTAGCCTGTCACTGGCTTTTTAATAATTTTTACATAATAGACATCTTTACATATCAGTGCATACAGATATCAGTATATTTTAGAAAAGAAAGAAAGAAAATTCCGTAAATATCTGTAAACAGACCTGTTTTGGATGCACCACCTACAGAATTCATCCTTCACTCCATCAGAAATATTGACCTTAACCGTCAGTACCTTCAAATTTTCTCCACGGTTAATTGCCAGAATCTGAGTGCAAACATAAGGCAAAGACTAATAATCACAAAATATATGAAACAAATCAGGCAGCTATGTAGCTGACAGCTATATGAATTTTTTACTCATTTATTTACCAAGAATACATTTTAAAATAATCATTTACTTACACTTTTTTCAAGTAACATACCTCCCTCATAAGGAAAACCCTAACATGTTCTTAGAAAATAAAATGCAGATACAAAGCCTATCTATCACATGTACAAGAAGAAACTTCGATGATCTAAAAATCTCATTGCAGATTCTACTAATTAAAAACTTTTGATCATCTGGAGCTGGAAGGGTATACTTTTTATAATTTGAAAAGATAACCTGTGCTAAGATAAATACAAACATGTAAAATCCCTAGGTGCAGTATTTAGTAGCTACAAATTGTTACCATCCATTGAGCATTACTAATTGTAGAGCCCATCTAAGCACTTTAAATATATTATCTCAAGTAATCCTTAGAGTCACCAGTGATGTCTGTATTATCTTCATTTTACATAATAATTTTTCTGAAACTTGTTCCAAATCACAAAGCTAGCAAGTAGCAAAAAAAGAATTTAAACTCAGACCTGTCCATGCTCTTAATTAAAATATTAAAAGTATGACTGTCTTAAAACACATTTAAAACACTCCTTAAAGAAGTACAAACAAAACCAAAGCAAGCAAAAGAAAATAATAAATAATAGGGTAAAAATAAAATAGAGAATAGAAAAGCAATAAATATCAACAAAACCATAAATTGGTTCTTTAAAGATATCAACAAAATTGACAGATCTTTCACTAGACTAATCAAGAAAAACAACAGGAAACACTCAAATAACAAAATCAGGAACAAGAGAGAAGCCACTACTAAGGACCTTATAGAAATAAAAAAGATTATAAGGGATACCATGAGCAACTGTATAACAAATTAGACAACTAAGATAAAATGGACAAATTCCTAAAAAGACACAAACTACCAAAAACAAACCAAAAAGAAACAGAAAATCTGAACAGACCTATAAAAAGTAAGGACACTGAATTAGTAATTTGAAAATTTTCCACAAATAAATGTCCAGGCCCAGATGGCACCACCACTGAATTCTACCAAACATTTTTTAAAAAATCAATATTCATTCTTCACAAACGTTCCAAAAGATATTAGAGAAGGAAAAGCTTCCCAAATACTTCTATTAGGCCAGTATTACTCTGATACAAAAACCAGACAAGACTTCACAAGAAAACTACAAACCAGCATCTCTTATGAATATAGATGTAAAAATCCTCAATAAAGCACTAGCAAACCACATCCAGAAACATATAAGAAGGATTATACACCAAGATCAACTAGAATCTATTCCAGGAATGCCCGGTTGATTTAACATTGAAAAAATCAATTAACCTAACACATTATATTCATAGAATAAATAATAAAAATCCTATGATCATCTCAATAGACGTGGAAAAACATCTGACAGAATCAGGTAGCCCTTCATGATAAAAAAAAAAACTCAACAAACTTGGAAACATAAGGAAAGTTCTTCAATGTGAGAAAGGGCATGTGCACAGAAATCTCACAGCTAACATCACATTTACTGATCAAAGACCAGAAACAAGACAAGTGTGTCCACTCTCACAACATTGTACTGAAGGTTCTAGCCAGGGAAAAGGAAGGGAAGCCATCTATATTGGAAAGGAAGATGTAAAACTTTCTCTATTTGCAGCTAACATGATCTTATATATAGAAAATTCTAAGCAATTCACTACAAAACTATTAGAACTAATAAAGAGTTCAGCAAAGTTGCAAAACACAAGCTGAACATATAAAATTAATTTCTACATACAAGCAATAAACACTCTGAAAATTTTTTTTTTATTCCATTTATGATACCACCAAAAGGAATAAAATACTTAGGAATAAATTTAACAAAAAAAGTTCAAAACTTAAATGGTTGACCTTTGAACAATACAGGTTTGAATTGCATGTGCTGACTTATATGCAGAATTTTTTCAACCAAACAGGGATTAAAAACACAGTAATTGCAGAATCTGAAACCCACGTATAAGGAGAGCTGATTTTTCATATACACGGGTTCTGCAGGGCCAACTCTGGGACTTGCATATACATAGATTTGGGTATATGCAGGGATCCTGGAATCAATCTCCTGTATATACCAAGGAACAACTGTACTCTGCAAACTACAAAACACTGTTGAAAGAAATTAAAGAAGATCTAAATAAATAGACATCCCATGTTCATGGATCAGAAGGCCTAATATTGCTAAGATGGCAATACTCCCCAGACTGATTTACAAATTCAGTGAAATCTCTATCAAATCCCAACTGGCATCTTTTGCGGAAATTGGCGAACTAATTTTAAAACACATATAGTAATTCAAAGGACTGAGAATAGTCAAGTCAATTTTTAAAAATAAAAATAAACTTGGAAGATTCCCACTTTCCAATTTCAAAAGTTACTATAAAGACACAGTAATCAAGACAGTGGGGACTGGCATAAGGATAGACATAGAATGGAATAGAACTGGAGACCAGAAATAACCCTATACATATAGAGTCAACTGATTTTCAACAAGAGTACCAAGAAAATTCAATGAAGAAAACCCAGTCTTTTCAATAAATCTGGGATAACTAGAATAAACCACATGCAAAAGAACAAAAGTGGACGGACACCTACTTCATGCTATACATACAAATTAACTCAAAAGTGATCTTAGACCTTAATATAGGAACTAAAACTATAAAATTTCCATTAAAAAAGAAGAAAATATTTATGACACCAAGTCATAAAGCCTTCTTAGATATTAAACCAAAAGCGTAATCAATAACAAAAAAATAGGTTGAACTTCAACAAATTTTAGTTTTTGTGCCTCAAAGAATAGTATCAAAAAAGTGAAAAGAAAATGAACAATATGGGATAAAAATTTTTGCAAATCATATGTCACATAAGGGTATCTAGAATATATTTAAAACTCTTACAGTTCAACAATAAGAAGACAAAACCCAATTTATTTACTTTCTTAAGAGAATGGGGTTTCACCATGTTGGCCAGGCTGGTCTCGAACTCCTGACCTCAGGCGATCCAC